ATCTCACAAGCCTCCTTGGAAACTTCTGCATAAAACTAATGTCCCATCCCAACCTTCCGACCACTGTCCACCCTGTCTCCTTGAAGCCCCTGGGCCCTCTTGTGGCATAGACAGGAAGGTACGCACCAGCCTTCTCACACCTGAGTCTGCCTGAGTCGCACTCCTACTTCACTCCAAAGGGCACCTCCCTTGAGCAGCTACTACACGCACTCACAAAAGGCATTCTTGCTCACCCCTACCCCGTGCTGCCACCCCATTCTTTAGTAATAGAAACCCATTTTGTTTTGTCTTATTTAAGAGGTTTCTGCTTTAGGGTACTTGTGCTTGTCAGAGAGGGACAGAGACAGTGAGAGGGAAAGTAAGAAATCACTCCAAGGGTGGATGGCCATGCCATAATCCCTTCTCCTCCATTCTCCTTCCAGGATCGTGGACGTGCACGCACACATGTGCCTAGTGTGATTTTCAAGCCACCCAGTCCAGACTTGAACTGCGGTCAGCCAGCTACACCATTTGCTAGCCTGTTGTTTTGTTTTTTAATTTTTTTTTAATTTTTTAATTTTTTTTTACTAGAGTTTGCGTGTGGTTCCCAGAGACAAGGAGAAGAGAAAGCATCACCCTCGGGAATGATCACTCCATAATCCCTTCCCTTCATCTCTCCTCTTGAAATTTCGGGCATGCATGCACATGTGCCAGGCATGTTTCTCAAGCTGCTGGGTCTGGACTTAAACTACACGGTCAGCCACGTAGGATCTGGTTGCCTTAACCTCCAGGCCACAGAGCTGGCCCCGAAGCCCGATTTGTACCAGGGCTCATTGTGGTCTATAAAATACACAGCTCTCAATTAAAATTTAATTTTGGACAGTGAGTCACTTTTAGGATTAGAGTAAACCAAATATTGAGTAGAACAAATTATGTAAGAAGTCTTCAAAAAGTTTATAAAACACGTATGAAAAATACTGTGCATGGATTTTAAAAATTTTTAGCATCAAAGTAAGCTAGTACTTTAATTCCGTTTTCCATAAACTTTTGGAAATCACATTGTACAAAAAGCATATTCAGTATGCTTCCATTTGATTTGCTAGATCTGGCAACCCAAGACTAGAACAAAGACTACATACTCTGCCTTCCTTTAGCTGAGGTGTGGCCGCTAACTGAGGCTGACCAATAGGTATGAGCACGGCCTAGATCCTGCCCTGGAAGGGACGGGCCTGCCGCCGCCACCTTTGTGCAGGTGCTGCTGAGCCCAGGAGTGGAGGAGCCTGCCTCCTACACCGCAGCCTGCTAGCACCCAGGATGGAGTGCCAGTGTAGGCCCAAGGCCTGCTGCAGCTTCTTTACCCCCTTCAGGTCTCTCTGGCCTGCTTTAGAATTCAGGGGTATCCTCGCCAATGAACATCGAAGTCAGCCTCCCACCACGGTGTGAACTGAGGGGTGCCTGTTCAGTGTGAGTCCCAGAACCTGACTGTTCTGCAGAGACCGGCATGGGAGCTGTGAGGCCCTTCCAGGACAGGTCGGTGATCTGGGAGTGGGGAAGGACAGCACCTGGAATAGGGACCTCAGCACGGGCTGTACATCTACATGTTCCAAAGGCCGTCAGCAGGGGTGATAAAAGTAAACATCTGGTCAACAGAGCACTTCAAATCCCAGCCCCGAGTCACTGGGCACGTGTGCTTGCATGCTCAATATCCCAACGGGGTGGAGAAATGAGGACAGGACTGTGGTGTGACTGTGTCCCATCGCGGGTGCTTTCCTCTCCTGTCCCCGTCTCTCTCTCTGGTAAGTACATGTGTTCTCTGGCAAAATTTTTTCAAACGTAAAAACCTGACAGACCTTCCCCCACCCCAAGGGTAAGGACTCGTAAGCTAAAAACTTGGCTCACAGGGATGTCCAGCTCCTTCCACCTGAGACGGCTGCACAAGCAGCGAAAGCAGAGAACGAAAGCCCAGAGCCCACGCATCTGGCACGGTGCAAGCGGTGGTCACTTGCAGTCTCAGTTCCACGCTCCTGGACTTGTTTCTAACAACATGCTTATGTTACTTTGCTGAAAGGCTTGAATTTTACTTGAAAAACATTACGATTGGATAAAGGGAAGAGGCGGATGCCGACTGCTCCACCTAGAGGTTACCTGCTGGAAACCGCGTGCACTAGTGTGTGGATGTGGGCATGGCCCCTACTAGCTTCCCATCCAAGAGTCCCTAGTGCCCAAGGGCCAGGCTCAAGGTATAGAGGTACTCTGCTGGCAGGGCTGAGCCTGCGGGGGGAAGCTTCAGCCTTCCTTTCCAAAGGGCGCTAACCCATCCGATCACCTTCCCTTTCCCAGCAGTTTGGCCTCTAGGGACCTCCCCAACTCCAGTGCAGAGGAGCCTTGGGGGGGCTAAGCTCTGAAGTAGGTTCTCTGGGGGCACAGACTTCTAAACAAGGGAGGCAGACAAGGGAGCAGGTCTCTGGGAAGCACACATGCATGGTCCACACATGTGGAGGGCCATACTGTCCACCTCTCAGCACTGGCGCTGGTAGGGGACAGGTAGGGAGATCAAGGTCTAGAGAAGGGCCTGGCCAGGGGTTCCTGGGGACAACACAGAGGGCTCTGGGGAAAACAGCAGGGAAACAGGACACAGGTGTGCGGGCCAGGTATTTATTGACAGGAACAGCGCTGGCTGAGGGTCCTCAGCGCCCAGCTGGCCAGCAGGCACACAGGGCCCGGCGCTCGGCCTGCAGCAGGAGGGTCTCCGTCTGCAAAGCAACAAGAGGCTATAAGAGTGCCCGCAAAGCTGCTCCCTACCCTCTCTCAGGACCTCCGCCCGTACCCACATCCTCGTGTTTTGGAGACTGTCCATTTGCTAGCCTGTTGTTTTGTTTTTTAATTTTTTTTTAATTTTTTAATTTTTTTTTACTAGAGTTTGCGTGTGGTTCCCAGAGACAAGGAGAAGAGAAAGCATCACCCTCGGGAATGATCACTCCATAATCCCTTCCCTTCATCTCTCCTCTTGAAATTTCGGGCATGCATGCACATGTGCCAGGCATGTTTCTCAAGCTGCTGGGTCTGGACTTAAACTACACGGTCAGCCACGTAGGATCTGGTTGCCTTAACCTCCAGGCCACAGAGCTGGCCCCGAAGCCCGATTTGTACCAGGGCTCATTGTGGTCTATAAAATACACAGCTCTCAATTAAAATTTAATTTTGGACAGTGAGTCACTTTTAGGATTAGAGTAAACCAAATATTGAGTAGAACAAATTATGTAAGAAGTCTTCAAAAAGTTTATAAAACACGTATGAAAAATACTGTGCATGGATTTTAAAAATTTTTAGCATCAAAGTAAGCTAGTACTTTAATTCCGTTTTCCATAAACTTTTGGAAATCACATTGTACAAAAAGCATATTCAGTATGCTTCCATTTGATTTGCTAGATCTGGCAACCCAAGACTAGAACAAAGACTACATACTCTGCCTTCCTTTAGCTGAGGTGTGGCCGCTAACTGAGGCTGACCAATAGGTATGAGCACGGCCTAGATCCTGCCCTGGAAGGGACGGGCCTGCCGCCGCCACCTTTGTGCAGGTGCTGCTGAGCCCAGGAGTGGAGGAGCCTGCCTCCTACACCGCAGCCTGCTAGCACCCAGGATGGAGTGCCAGTGTAGGCCCAAGGCCTGCTGCAGCTTCTTTACCCCCTTCAGGTCTCTCTGGCCTGCTTTAGAATTCAGGGGTATCCTCGCCAATCAACATCGAAGTCAGCCTCCCACCACGGTGTGAACTGAGGGGTGCCTGTTCAGTGTGAGTCCCAGAACCTGACTGTTCTGCAGAGACCGGCACGGGAGGTGTAAGGCCCTTCCCGGACGGGTCGGGGAGTTCTGCAGAGACCGGCATGGGAGCTGTGAGGCCCTTCCAGGACAGGTCGGTGATCTGGGAGTGGGGAAGGACAGCACCTGGAATAGGGACCTCAGCACGGGCTGTACATCTACATGTTCCAAAGGCCGTCAGCAGGGGTGATAAAAGTAAACATCTGGTCAACAGAGCACTTCAAATCCCAGCCCCGAGTCACTGGGCACGTGTGCTTGCATGCTCAATATCCCAACGGGGTGGAGAAATGAGGACAGGACTGTGGTGTGACTGTGTCCCATCGCGGGTGCTTTCCTCTCCTGTCCCCGACTCTCTCTCTGGTAAGTACATGTGTTCTCTGGCAAAATTTTTTCAAACGTAAAAACCTGACAGACCTTCCCCCACCCCAAGGGTAAGAAAGAGTAAGCTAAAAACTTGGCTCACAGGGATGTCCAGCTCCTTCCACCTGAGACGGCTGCACAAGCAGCGAAAGCAGAGAACGAAAGCCCAGAGCCCACGCATCTGGCACGGTGCAAGCGGTGGTCACTTGCAGTCTCAGTTCCACGCTCCTGGACTTGTTTCTAACAACATGCTTATGTTACTTTGCTGAAAGGCTTGAATTTTACTTGAAAAACATTACGATTGGATAAAGGGAAGAGGCGGATGCCGACTGCTCCACCTAGAGGTTACCTGCTGGAAACCGCGTGCACTAGTGTGTGGATGTGGGCATGGCCCCTACTAGCTTCCCATCCAAGAGTCCCTAGTGCCCAAGGGCCAGGCTCAAGGTATAGAGGTACTCTGCTGGCAGGGCTGAGCCTGCGGGGGGAAGCTTCAGCCTTCCTTTCCAAAGGGCGCTAACCCATCCGATCACCTTCCCTTTCCCAGCAGTTTGGCCTCTAGGGACCTCCCCAACTCCAGTGCAGAGGAGCCTTGGGGGGGCTAAGCTCTGAAGTAGGTTCTCTGGGGGCACAGACTTCTAAACAAGGGAGGCAGACAAGGGAGCAGGTCTCTGGGAAGCACACATGCATGGTCCACACATGTGGAGGGCCATGCTGTCCACCTCTCAGCACTGGCGCTGGTAGGGGACAGGTAGGGAGATCAAGGTCTAGAGAAGGGCCTGGCCAGGGGTTCCTGGGGACAACACAGAGGGCTCTGGGGAAAACAGCAGGGAAACAGGACACAGGTGTGCGGGCCAGGTATTTATTGACAGGAACAGCGCTGGCTGAGGGTCCTCAGCGCCCAGCTGGCCAGCAGGCACACAGGGCCCGGCGCTCGGCCTGCAGCAGGAGGGTCTCCGTCTGCAAAGCAACAAGAGGCTATAAGAGTGCCCGCAAAGCTGCTCCCTACCCTCTCTCAGGACCTCCGCCCGTACCCACATCCTCGTGTTTTGGAGACTGTCAGCCACACACTACTGCTGTGTCTCGTCCCACTCACCCACCTCCCTCCAATGGCCTCTACTGAGCAGGTGCTGTTCTGGGTCCCTGCTCAGCCACCTCTCAACTCCCAACACCTCACGGGGGTCATATCCTCTAATCCTCCCACTGAAATCTCCAAGGATAAGTTGGGGCTGCCCCTCCTAAGGGATCTCCTGGCCTCGGTTGGGTCCTTTGGGAATTGCCAGGAAAAGGTACCAGGGCTGGTAGGTGTAGGACCAGGCAGGGCCTCTCCTTTCTACTTCCAAGAATTCTCCCTTTTTATGGACTTTTATGAGCCCCTGGCACAAGTGAAAAAGCCTTTGACTGAGCCCCAAGGCCTGAGGGTTCCTATTTATCCAGGTTTGAAGGGGGCTCCTGAGTCCCCCTGTGCACTACCAGGCCCCCTCCAGACCACGGGCCTCCAGCCACACCCACTTTCACTCCAGCCACGCCCACTTTCTCAGCCACTTAACATCCGGCCACACCCACTTCCCCAGCCTCAGTTTCCTCTCTGGCCTTGGGCTGCATCCCCCATCTAGAAGATCCTGTATTGGGGGTGGTGGTTCTTCCCCAAGAGTCAGGTCTCCCAGAGCAACCAGAGGTGATGGTCACAGGACAAAGTGCCCAGTAGGCGTTGGGGGTGCTAGCAGCAGAGGGTGCTGAGAATGGGGAGGTTCTCAAGGGTGAGGCCTGTGCCCAGAATGCCAGAGAAGGGGTCACAGATTTGGCAGATTGGGGTTCACCCAAGGGCTTGGGCGTTCTGGGAACAGTGGCCTACACCCCCCTTGAGGGTGCCTCCAGCCCACACTCCACACCCCTCAGCACTCCATGAGCCCCAGGAAAGCCCAGGCTATCCTAGGGGCTCTGGCGGGCGCTCACCCTCGCGTCCAGGCTGTAGGCCGTCTTCCGCAGGTCCTGCAGGGCGCGCTGCATGAACTCGAACGCGTGGCAGTCAACGCACGGGCGGCCTGAGCGGGGAACGGGTCACGGTGGAGGGGTAAGCCGTCTTAAAGGGGTATTCTCCCTCACAGCCCACCGTGCCCCTGCTAGGTACCACCGAGCGGTGGAAAGCGAGTCCCCCTTCCCCGCCTCTTCACCTCCCACCGAAGGGGCGGACCCACTCCTGGGAACAAAGGCAAGGCGCGGGCCCTCCTCGCACGCCCCCTGGAGCTCCGGGTGTGGCTGCGAGGTTGTGCACCCGGGGCGGGGCGGGGGGGCTGCGCTGGCTTCGGGCCACGCTGGGAGTCGGAGGGAGGGTGCCCCAGCTGCAGGACCGCACAGGCTTCTCCCCCGCACTGCAGGCCCCCGCCCCCGACCCGCGCCC